AGATTGCATCTGCAAATAACCTTGCAGATCCTTTTACTAAGACTCTACCTACTAGGGTTTTTGAGTCTCACGTTGAAGGGGTGGGTGTTAGATGTAATGGTAATTGGCTTTGAGTGCAAGTGGGAGATTGTTGGGATTTGTAATACCCCGATATTTTAAAGGATTTAGTAATTGGGTTTAATTACTTTTATTTTATTTTTAAATGATTTATTTGATTTAATTTGAATTAATTCCGTTTATTTTAATTTTTAATTGATTTGTTTTATTGAGTGCTTAGATTAATTGTTTTATTTTATTTATATTTTGTAAATTATTAATATGATTATTGTTATGTGTGTGCTTAATTATTGATTGAATTGTTGGCGTATTGATTGTATTAGTATGGTATGACTTAGTTATAAATTCTTGATTGTTTATGTGCTTATTGTAATTAGTTATTTTAATTTAAGTGTTTATTTAATTATTTTATTTATTTAAATTAATTATATTTGGGCTTAAGGGAAGTTAGACTAAAAGATGTGGTCTTGGGCTTATATGAAGCCTTATTGGGTTAATTAATAAAGGCCCATGGTTATTTAATTATTTAAATGATCATTTTTGTATTAATTATAAATATATAAAATTATATATAAATATAATTAATTAATAATTGTTATGGAAAGATATATATAGAGATATATGTTTATGGATATATATAGGTCTATATGATTTAATTAACCCATGGATTAATCATGGAAGGTATATATATATATTTGTAATATAATATGTGTTTATAGATATATATTATTTAAGAATTATTATTTTATTTGAAAGTCCTAGTAGGAATAGGATTTGGTATCTAATGTGTATAAATATACGCATAAGACTTTAGGGTTAAAAGTTTACACGTTAAAAAAAAATAAGAGAGAGAGAGAAAATGAGAAGGCCGACAAAGAGGAGGCCGGATTAGAGATGACATCGGATTTGGAAGAGGCAATCAAGACTTGAAGCTTCGGTTTCGTTTTGAAACCTTCAGGCGAGTTCTTTTCTAACTTTCCTCTTAGAACTCATAAGGATTTCACCTTGAGTATCAAAATCTAAGGTTAAATTTATTGATTAAATGATGGTTAGAATGGAATATTTAAAATATGAATTATTATATATATATATATTTTTGGAATTTTAGATTTCTATTGTTGTATATATGTGTTGTATATTTTGTTACATCAACAGATAGACTGGATTTGGATCCAAGAGGGGTTAATTAGTGTTTCTAAAATTTCTGGAATTTTTGTTAAATTTTCTGGAATTTTCTGATATTTTCTGGTATTTTTGGTAATTTATTAGAATTTATTTTTATATATTTATTGGAAATATATATATATGTATATTATTTATACATATATACACTGTTAGTGGAACGCCTCAATAGGGAAGCAATTCAGTGTGGCGCGGTACATAGAATAATGGTGCGCACACTAATCTAGACCACTAGATTACTTAAATATTAATAGATTGATTCAGTGCATTACGGTACATGATATGTTAATGCACATGCGGAATCCAGCGGTTTGATTTGATTGATGAAAGGGAGATAATCTGGTGCGGGTGCATACATGTGAGCTCAAGTGAGCTAATCTGGTGTGGGTGCATTTGTGTGAGCTCAAGTGAGCTAATCCGGTGTAGGTGCGCTCACAGTAGTGTTTGAGCTCATCCAATTATGTTGCCTGTTTGTGGCATAAAATTTAAACGGTCATAACTTAGTCATCTTAAATCGAAATTGGGTCATTCTTGAACTCAAATTCAAGGATTTTTCGTCCTCTTTATAATGGTATCAATTTCATTATCAGATTCTTATCATACTAAGAGATATTTACATTTTAGTGAAATGGTGTTGGAAAATTATTGAAACTGATATGGAGTATTTATGGAAAACCATTTGTGACGTTATTTAGTGACTTTTAATTTGCGTAAATGTCATTAATTAGTAGTTTGGTGATGGAATGAGTTATATATATACTTAATTATATATGTGTATATATGATTTAATTAATTTATGTGTAGGATGGAAGGAACTATATGTATATATATATTTATTAATGTATATGTATATATGATTTTAAATAATCAAGGATTATTAGTGAAGGTATTATACATATATATATATTATATAATATATGGGTATATGTATATATCATTTAAGATAATTAAATTATTATTCTTATTTGATATATTATATTAGGCTGGTTATTAAATTAATCTTATGCATATAATATGCATGAAATGGTTATGTGTGAATTAATTTATTTTTAAATTTAAAGTTGATACATAGTTGAATTGTAGGCATGGATGAGTTGCCATAGGCGTAAGTATTTTGCCTAAATATTTGTATGAATAAAATACATACACAGAAAGTATGGTCGAATTGTTAATTTAAAAGTATAAATATATATACTTAAAGGAGGCATGGTTGAATTGCCAATGTATAAATAAATATATTTATAATTGCATGGTTGATTTGCCAAATATGTAAGTAAATATACTTGTGGAGGCATGGTTAATTTGCCAATGAATAAATAAGTATATTTAAGGAGGCATGATTGAGTTGCCAATATATCAATGAAAATATTTATAATGGCATGGTTAATTTGCCAAAGTGTAATTAAATTGTTATGTGTTAGATGATTAAAATATCATCTATGGTTATTGTATGTATAGACTGGATTAGGATTATATATTCTTAAATTAGAATAATCTAGTACTTACTGGTTAGTGTATTATTTTATATTAATAAAATAATATTGGTGGAGACATGGATGATTTGTCAAAGCTGAGATTTTGAATATGTGATTTAGTTAAAATCATCATCGGGTTTTGGGATTAATTATAATATGCCTTTTATTATAATTTATTATTTAAATGATTAAACAACTGACTAGGATGGGATTAAGGTCAAAGGAGTTTTTTTTTTTTTTTTAAATGAAATGGTAGATTGATCTAGGTATGAATATTATTTTAATAATTATTTAATAGGTATGGAAATTTAATAAACCTATTAACGGATGTGATTAGTATAGTATATAAAATTATATATAGACATGTACATCGTGCTTTATTTAAATTAAAACTTTATTAAGTTTGGTTTGATCAGAGATGATTTGCTTATTGATTTTCAAAGGCCTGGTAGAGTGAACTTGCTTGTAGGGTTTAACCCACGATTTATTTTTCAGGTTATTAGAGGTTTCAGTCTCGAGGTTGAGGATCCGCAGCTGGGAGACTGTCATTCGTCTATTCATCTTGTGTACTTTTAAATAGTATTGGATTATTGGATAATGTTTTAAGGGGTCCTTGAGTTATGGGATTTCCGAGTTGTAATTGTTGGAGAATCATTAAGTAATATTCATTTATTAGTTTTCTTCAGCGGTTTATTTATTCTTTATTATTCATCTTTGTATTCTGTGCTTGTTAAATACTAAAATTGTTTTGATATTCCTTGATTTTGTGTGCGGACTTGATCAACCCGTGTTCCGAAATTAGGAGGTATCACAGTTGGTATCAGAGGATTATATACCCTACAAGCCAATTAATTATTATTAATTCGATATTTTATTAATAAATATGATATTCATGCATTGGCCTTTACATATATTTGTATGAAATGCATTACAGTCCTCAAGTTGCATTATAGGTGACTTAAGTATGTAAATGAGATTTACACACAGGAGATTTGGGCTCACCGGTTTCTTGCACCTTGGCATTGTTCACAGTCAGTGATAAAAGTTGGGCACTTGTATCTGTAAGACTGTAACACACTTGACCTCTATAAGATCGGATGGTTTGTCTCAACCGTTGGGGTAGTTGACTCTAAGGTAGTGTGTTAGTGTGCTTGGAGTACATTGAACTGGATTACTATAAAATCACACCATACAATGTACTGTCATTATTCTGGTGTGTTTCTTATCTACTAAATTCATAGGCTCTAAATACTGAGAGATTTAGTAAACTCAAGTTTCAGTATTAGTCACTTTGACTTACTAATGTGTGAGATCTTTTTAAGGTCAATACCACGGTATCTTGGGTGGCTAATGTTGGAGTTCCAGGAACACAAATGCTCATTATGGAATCCACTCACTTTATAAGAGTTAGAATATCCCCTTGATGCAATTTAATAAGTTTAATCACTGGAACCTGACCAGGGCATTTTAATAAAATGTTTAATAAATTATTTTTTTATTATTTATTTAGAAAAATATTTATTTGGAAAAACCCTTCTATAAAAAAATTTAATTCAGTGATCATAATGATTAAATTGGTTACTCAAAGAATATAAAATATAAGTAAGCCTTAGGTGGGACGGTATATATTTTCCTAGGGCTACTTATGGATATTCGGTAGTGGAGGGGCTTATGTATAATTATTTAGTAAACAGGCTTGTCGTAATTTCTAAATCCTAGAGTGCAATTACAATACTATTGTGGTGCTTACTGTAATTAATTGGATAGAATAGAGTTATGAGATAACTCTATCTCTATCCAATTAGAGCTAGGATAAGGAAGCCATCTTAGATCCTCACCTCTAGCCCCAGACTTTTAACCGACTCTGTCAAGTCATATATTTGGTAACGCTGCGATACAAAATTATAGAGTTACATGATATAATATATAGAGAGTGAGAGAAAAGGTATGGGTTCCACAAACCTACCATTAGGGTCATAGAGATGAAGACTCATTAGTTTTCAAAGCCAAAGAAGAAAGTGAATACTGTTTTAGAATACGACGATTATTCAATCGTCCAAAAGTATGAAATCCTTTTACAGTATTTATTGATTTGTTGAAAGATCACGTAGTTACGCTCCTGAAAATTTGTTAAATGCTTCCGTTGCGCCTTCAGTACAAACAATGCATGATGAAAACAAATGGTTTGAGAAGTCATATTTACTAAATTAAAGAAATATTGTAAAAACAAATAGATGTTTGAAGTTTGATGTAGTACTGCCCATAATATGAGCTTCATTCACCATCTCAGAGAAACAGAACATCATTAAAAATACAATGAAAAATTTAACTATTGGCAAATACTGGAGTCAATTAATTTAGTACACCACAGAAAGACCTAATGAAAACCTTGACTTTTGTGATGGTTATTCCATATATGTAATACTAAAATGCCAAAGACCAAAAGGGAAGTTCTCAAGAAAATATTACCACAAGGAGAAGAGGCAGTAAGAATCGAGAGCTCCACGAAGCTTCACATGCGCGATTTCAAGGCTCTTTCTCTCCGACATGCCAAATTGTATTTATGTACACCCTACTACGAAAAGGAAAAGGGAGAAGAAAAAACTGCAAGCGCAAAATTTATTATATGAATAACTGAATCCTGATGTAGTTAGTATATTGCAGAACATGAATTGAAGCCATGTCAACGAAAAAGCATAGCATAAAGAAGTAAAATGGCGCAGAACATGAAAGACGGAAGCATTCAGGATCAGTTTAGCCTTCACATTAGCAAGCAAACACCTGCAAGCATCTTCTTGTGACCGAGTGAAACACGTACACACACATGTAACTATTCGTATGGAAAATGAAGATGAACTTATTGAACTACAAGTCAAAACCTCTTGATTGTGTGGTATTACACGCAATTAGTACCGGAAATTTTTTAGCAGAATTATAGTTTTACGTAGTTGATTAGGTTTGCCCGATTACCTAGGCCTTATGCAGTCTATTAGTAAGCATCACCACAAGTACATAAAATTCTGTTATGTGAACAGAATTCATACAATTCCCAGCTACATAACTTGTTATCTTCCTATAAAAATTAAATTCAACAACAATTCCTAGCTACATAATTTTCAAGAGTTGCTAGAGGGAGGATATAAACATGTAAAACCCGAGAAAAGAGAAGAACTTGAAGAGGAAAATACCGTAAAAGAATGAGGATGAAACTCATGCATTCATATCCTCTGGAGGCATTTTCAATGGCTGCCTAAGCTTTCGCAGATGATGAGCTATCTCTGTCAAGAGTTTTGTCCCGTCACCGCCCTTCTGAAGTGTCATAGCAGTATGTTTCAAAAATCCACTATCTGCTTCAATGGCTCTCAATCTCTCCTTAATTTGAGACATTTCTCTCGTAAGGTCAGCCTTAATTTCTTGTCCTGCCAACAAGAAACACCATTCTATGAGATTAATGGATGAACAACATAATTCAAGCAACTACACCAATCCAAAGCGAAAAAAAGAAAAAGAAAAGTCACCTGTGTTTTTATCTTCATGCTTAGTAATGTCAGAGTTAGACTCTGAAGAATGAGGTTCTTCACCTGAAGAAAAATTAATTTTTTTCTCCAAATCTGTCAACTGGCCTAGAAGATAAGATCTCTCGCGGTCAAAATCAAACGATGACTCGTCAAAGGTTCCTCCATTTTCTTCCTGCAACGGCCCAGATTGACGCCCATTTTCTGTAGTTTGATCTACTTCACGAGGGCTTCCACATTCACTTGAGAAAGTTTGAGATTTGAATTCCTGGTAATCTTCAGCATCGAATACACATTCCTCACTGCTTATTTTCCTTATGAGTCCATATTTTTCTCTGTATGTCTCGAGCTCAACCGCCATATCCTTGACCTCATCCTCTCTCTTGATGAGCAAATTCTTCATAACTTGTATGGCTTCTTGGTCATACTCGGCCTGCTCATCCATCATTCTTTGATACTGCAAAGCCTCCATTTGAACAGCGGCTTTCTCTGCTTGCAACCGCGTAATCATGGCCATTGCATTGTTTGCTGCAACGGCAGAGGCACTTCTTTCTTCATCCAATTCCATGCACAAAGCTATCATTGACTTGCGATCCAATCGGACTTGTCTCTTCAATTGTTGCAAAATGGAGTCACGGTCAGCTTCATTCGTCCTGTTGGTGTCAGTTGACTCCAGAAATAACTCCGACTTCTCAATTTGCAGTTTCCTGGGAAACCTAGTAGAAAACCTAGGACTTGCTGCAGCTGAATCTGAAAGTGGGATACCGAAAAACTTGTTTCCTCTAGTAAAACTAGGGGTCATTTCCTCAGGTTCTGGTAGCAATGGCGCGGTGACAGCTTTGTTTTCTTCCTTCGTTGCTACATAATATCAAACACGTACACCGTCATTGCCACGGTGAAATGGTTCAAAAGTTATGCAGTGCCATGGGAACTACAAAACTCAGCAAGATAACTTGTACACAGTATTAACAATTGATAATGTAGGCATGGTCACAATGGATAAATAAACCAGTATCTAGTGGTAATTCCCAGTATTTTCAATTGAATTCATGATGATTCATTCATTCAAAAGGTTTTGCACTTACATGAATGATGTGCATTTGCACAAACACTTAGATGTTGCCAAATTTGTTAATACTACATGACAGAAAACACAAGAAGAAGAAGCCCTTTTTCCCCACCACTTGGAGTTGGCTACATGAATCCTATGTTTCCATTCCGCTCTATCTAAGACCATAACAGCAATCAAACCACGTTAACTTTGGCCTTCCTCTTCCCCTAGTATTACTCTCAAAGTGAAATATGTTACTCTTTCTAACCGACACATTTAAAGATCTTCTTTACATATGTCCAAAGATCAATCTTAAACGTATTTTCTCTCATTTTTTTCTTCAATTTTAGTCACTCCAACCACATGTGGTCCTTTCTAATTATATCCTTATATTTACTTAAAAAAATAAAAATAATAAAAAATAATAATAATAAAAAATACAAACATGTATAATATACTTTAAAATTTTAAGAGTTCATGTGTATGATTATTGCAAAAATGTAACTCAAGGGAAAAATAAATGAATTTAAAAATAAAAATAAAAAATAGAAGGAAGAAGTTGCAACATGAACTCACATTGGTTATCTGCATTTGATCCATCCTCATCTTCTGGATGCTCTGATTCGTTGTCCGAGATGAACTTGAGCTCCGTGTAACGGATGTGAGGCAGGTCAAGATTCCGGGGTTCCTCATATCTCAATGTCATCATTGGTGTTCGGGGAGAGGGAGCAGGAGCTTGCGAAAGAAGGCTGGCATTGATTGATGAACTCCGCGTCATGGTACTCCTCGAAGAGGATCTCATCCTCAGAGGCTCCCCACAACAAGAACACCTATAAACAGGACAAGGAGTAGGACTATTCCTCACATCGTCTCTCCTCCCTCCCGATTTCAGCTGAATCTTGTGATCATCCTCCACAAAGGAATCAATGTCCTTGTGCAGAATCCCAACTAGGGACCTGTAAGTGTCGCGGTCTGATTCTTTCTCGGTTGAGAACGAAAGGAGGCACCCCTCACACATGCTCCAAATGTCTGAGAGCGTCCGGTGGACGTGGCAATAGGCCAGCGACGAAATGTCCTTCTTGTGGGCTTCACACATTGTGTCATTGTAGTAGAAGTCAGGGTTTTTGTGAACCAGAAGATGATCAATCCTGGTGCAGAGCAAGCAGGGCAAACGCAATTCGAAGAACCTGGCGAATTCGTTGGAGAGAAACGCTAGAAACCCGATAAAGAACAGCAGAAATATCATCACCCATTCGAGGATGGCGTAAATCAAGAAATGTGGTAGCTCCCCTAACTCCTTCTCAACAAAACGCCTGAATGATCTTGATGAGGCCATTATACATGTACCCGAATCTAAAAACTACAATATTTTTTTTGTTCTATATATATATATATATATATATATATGAATCCTAAGACTTTATGTATATGTATATATGTATGTGAAAATTGAAGTAGGTGTTGATTTGAACAGATTGAGAAGGAGGGATCAAAGTGCAGGGAAAATGATGAGACAGATCATGACCTTGGTAAGGAAGAACTAGACCGAGACCGAGACCATGACCTCTCTCTCTATCTCTCTTTCTCTCTCTTCTTGTGTGTGTGTACGAAGAAGGAGAGAGAGATCGTTGCCAAATACAAAGGTTTCAAAAAAATTGGGTGTTAGTGTCGGTTTTGCCATAGATAGAAAAGGTGAGGCTGTTAGGCGGAAATTTTACCTGAATTAACGGTCATTCGTGCACTCTCCAACAAATTAAGACAACGCACAAACGTTGTCGTTTACAAAAAAAAAAAAAAAAAAAAAAAAAAAAAAAAAAAAAAAAAAATCAGATAACTTTGGGGCCCTCTACAAAAAATAATCAATCTGTGATGGCCCTCCACCACCATTCCTTGACATATATAGTGTATTTGGGCGGGGTAAAAACCCTAGCAATTTATACTTGCAAATACACTGACCTTTTTTGGCTTCACAAAAACTGTTTAAATTGGAGGAATATTTGCATAAATTTGATGAAATTTTGATTCAATTTATACACTGAAATTTGAAATGGGAAATTTTCAAATGACAAAAATGTCGTCATTAAGTCTGATTCAGATACGAAGCTCAGGACAGACTATCATTCTAATATTTTCTTACTGGATACGCCAAATTATTCAAACAATTTGATTAAGAACTTTGACAAGAAATATGGGTAAATAATACGCAATTAAAAGAATATATTCAACCAATAAATAAAAAAATAAAAATTGAACTACCAAATTGACTTTAATTGCAAGAAACATCAGCTCATGGGCAATATATAATGAAAAATAAATAAAAAATTTGAGGTTCTCATTATGTTCCAAGCTGAGGCTGCTCAATTTATTTGGACGTAAAGTATTTTTTGAAAAACACTTTCTTTGTTTTATGGTGTTTAGTTGTCGTAAAATTTTTACCAAGAAAAAAAATATTAAAATTTAACAAAAATAACTTATTCATCAATTTTCAATAAGTTATTTTACACGCTCCACCCGATGAACTTGACCTCAACCTCGACCTCCTTTGTTAAACACAAAAAATTAAAAATAAAAGAAAATATTTTACATGAAAAAATAAAAGATTTTTCGAGAAAAATATTTTAACCAACGAGCCTTAGGAGTCATTAGTTGTCAAACCAGACCTTTTCTCTCAAGAGTCAGAAATTTAATACCATTAACCAACAAGCATACAGCTAATGGGTGGGACAGTAACAGTCAAGCAGAATCAACATCAGTCCAGACTTGACTTCTACTCCAATTTAAGGTGCCTTGAGTTGGCAATTACCCTGTTCAAGTTTTGTCTGGCGCTCCAAAATTGATTCCACCAATGATCATGACAACCACTTAGCTTACAGAATTGCCTTGCCCGTGGCGCTTGCTCGCGCGAGTGTGTGTGTGTGTGTGTGTGTGTGTGTGTGTGATAGATAGAGAGAGAGAGCATACACATTACACAGCTACTAAAGTTCTGTAACCACAGAGATGACAACTGCCAGAGTTTTAAAACATACACTGAACCGGAAAAAATGCACTTGTATAATCTTCAAAAACAGTTGTCTGTCCCCAGGAAAGCAACCAAATTGCATATATCAGAATATAATGAAAAGGAATTATAGTCAAACCACCAATTGAATTAACCATTTTCCAGTTTACACTATCATCCCGTAAAATATTCACACAAGCTCAAAAATTGCTAGTATATCTAATTGACAGTACTGCGAGTGCTGGTGTGTGTTACATAAACAAAAGATATTTTTGATACAATGTTTTTTTGTTAAATTTTATAAATATGTCTAATAACAAAACTGCCCAGTCAAATAACCTTGGGATGTCGTTAGTTAACTAACTGTTATGGAGACCGATTAAAGAAAATCTCGATTGTCAGAAACTGGGACCAGCTAGCTTGTAAGCAAAACATTTGCAGACATGTAAGGCGAATTGCATCCCTGCACCTGAAGAGAATTGAACATTCTCAATAAGCGGGCTGTTAACAAATACACAAAGGTATGTTTTGAGGTTGATGATATCATGCAAATTTTTCTTCCTGCAATATGCAATATGTCAATACATTTATGAGATAAATGAAGCCAGGGATAGCCTGTCAAATATCACTTCACACTAATAGAGGAAATCGTTCTCTTTCATTTCTGAGAATTATGGGATGCATTTTCAATGATGTAGATATATTCAAACATAATTATATTATATATATATTCTGGAATCCATTCTGGGACCTGCTATCCTGTCTCACTAAATAAAGCCCAAGATTACTAGAAAACAGACATAAAGAAGAAAATTCCACAGCAGATATCCTGATAATGATCTATTCATAATTATACATGTTAGGACTATAATGCCGGCAAAATTGTCAAAAAGGTTTATGGACTTGTAATCATATATTTATTATTTATTATTATTATTTTTTTTTTTTTTTTGTGATTTTTGATTGAGTCAGTTTTGGTCAAAATGCCATGATGGTTAACAAAAAAATAATCATGATTTGTTAACAAAAAAATGGACAAAGTTTGGTGAAGAATGGATGGTGATTAAATGGTGATCGCATGCGATAGGTAAAAGGTAAACGATTTGATTAGAAAATTTAAAAACCTAACTCAAAAAACTTTTACTTTAATAAACTTTGTAGCATAAATGGCTTCGACTTTTCTAAAACTTGTTAGATTCAAATTAGGATACTTTCTGAAGTTTGCTACAAATATTTTACAAACAGAAAGTTAAGCGCCGATACAAACTTCTATGCATAGCTGTATTCAATAAGTTACGAACTAATGAGAAGAATTCATACAGTGATGCATGTATGACTGACTGCAGAAATTTTGGTTTTTAAATTCCAAAAATGTTTCTAAATTGCTATTCCAACCATGACCAGAAAAGAGAGAGACTTTAAGAGAAATGCCATGTTTGATCTCTCTCATATCTTCTAGACATTTCGTGAGCTTTTTTATCTATGCACATACTTGTTTGTTTGAGGACAGAAGGTACTGATGTGTATACAGTTGTTCTTAAAGTTGGACGAAAATCTAAAACAACTGCTGAAGGCAGATTTCATAACCACTTCACATCTTTGTGTCAAAATGCTACTCGTGCAACGTGTGATGCTTGTGGTGAACTAAGTCGCTAACCATCATTAAGGAGAGAATACAGATTAAGGGATAGAGATTGCATTGCCAGTAAGCAATGACTGAAATTGAGGATTCAAATTGTCAAGAATCAAGTGGAACTGCATATGACGGCATGTGGAACCACCGGGCAGTAGTGAATCAAAGAATATGAAAAGGCTAGTGGTCTTGAGGTAGAGTTGAAGTGTTTAACGGGCTTGTGACATAGTGATTCTTCTTAGTCAGAATGGATTGGTTAGCTTCAGATGGTGTCCTCATGGTTTTGTCCCAGTTGAATTTTTCACTATTTTTTGGTTGATTGAATGCTCAAATCAAACCCGCACCCCCCCCCCCCCCCCCCCCCTCTTTCTTCTCAAATAATAATTTTTTTTGTAATCAGTGAATTTAAAGGAACTTCAGCATATTTATCCAAAAAAAAAAAACTTCAGTGTGCACAACTTTCACTGCAGACTTGCTATTTTTCCAACCTTTGGCAAACAGTAACCCTAACAAGACCCAGTGTGCCACAATCTTATTATACTTATTTAAATGCCTTGTATAACAGTCAAACCACATATTACCCACAGTGGCATCCAATAATAAGAGATTAAACTGATCAAGAAAACCTAAAATGAACAGAACGTCTTATATATCAAGAAGGCCATATGAGAGTAAGGGATTGCATTCCTGAGAATGTTCCAGCTACCAAGTTTCTCCAATTGTCACAAGTAAATCCACATAAAGAGAATCAAGTATAATATAGTACGACAATGAGAGCACAAGTATTACAAGGGAATTTCAAACAATAACTGAAAAATGAATGAGCTTTCATTAAACAGATTTTACAGCGTGAGGGAATTAGTTACCTGCAACAAACAAGTAGGAATTTGGATAAACCCCTGTAATAAAAGATCAACCTTCTCCAGAATGTTCTGTGGAACAGGAGTAATGATGTAGAGTAACTGTTTCGAAGTGTCAATGCCTCTCACAATCCCTGGTTCATATTGAATCAAGAAATAAGAGGAGAACACAAAAGGTTCCAATAAATTAGTGCTACCATATTTCAGCCTTTACAATGAAAATAAATCCACTTTTTCTTTGAAAAGGATATAAACAAATGGAATTATAACCGTGTGTTTAATTCCATCAATTGAAAATAATTCTTGCAGACAACCCCAAGGGGTTGGCTCAAGTAGGGAAGTCACTTGGCCCTGTTGCCTCAGGAAGCATAGGTCTAAGGTTCGACTCCACTTAAGTGCAAACAATTCCTTGGAGGTGGGCGGTGTGAGTACCAAGGAAAAATAATAATTCTTGAAGACAACGAATAATATTATACGGTTCAAATTTCACTTGTAGTAAAAGAAATATGATTTACTGCATTAAAGGCAAACACTTCCGGTATGCAACCAATCTATGATTAACAAACATGTAGGATTATTTTGGGACAATCATTTTCCACCGAGATGGGTACAAGTATCCTTAAAGAAAAACATCAACAGAACAGGATGGGAACACTTTGAAAACAACAATGCTTATTTATCCATTGCATGCAATACCAGTTATAGCAGAACACAACAGCTCCCACTGGCTATTTTTTGATATTCCAAGAAAGTGAGCCACTCCACCATCAATATGCCCACATGCCCAAACATATAGATTTGATGCTCAGCCGACCCACACAGTGATGATGTGTAACTCAAGCTCTCAATAATTATGGCATAGCTATGTCATGCATGGTTCGATAATTTACAGCACCATTCATATATACCAGCCCAGTCTTCCAGCATAGCAACTAAACATATTGGAACTTAAATTTCATTTTATGAAACAAAAGACCAGCTCAACTCCTTCATAACTGTGAAGACTGAAGATCAGTGAGTGAGAAGGTTTTTAAAAATAAATAAATATGGAGAGGGACTTGGAAGACGAAGTGATAGACTAATATTATAAAAAGTTTACAGATCTAGTTTCCATCAAAACTAAAGGAAGTTCGCAAAATTATTTCAATCAGCAGTATAAAAATTAAATTCTTATTCTATGTGATTCCATGGGTAAGTAATGTCATTTTCATAGGAGATTTCTTATACTGAATCGTGTTCTACAATGGCACGTCCTTATTATACCACATCACCCCCAACAAAATGGTGTTAGCAGATAAAAAGTTTTCTCCTCCACTTTCTGAACAGTATCAAACACGAGTAATCTGTCCAAGGATTTTAAATTTCTTTGAGAGAGAAAAACAAAATATTTATATTTGTTGAAACATATAAAAGGTGAAGAGAGAAATTAAACATGAAGAACACAACAAAACAAAGCCCAAAGGGCCACATCACTTTTGTTATATTCTCTCTTAATCTTTGTATACAACGATCACCTCTATTTATAGGCAAAAGAATACAAGTGATAATTATGGAAAATACATTGATGGAAGATTTTTAAAATCAACCCCATTAATCACTCCAATCAATATTTTATCATAGGCTAAAATCTCTCCTACGATATTCTCATATCAAATATTCTACAATAATATTTTCCAACAACCCCTCTCAAGTTGGTACACGGAGATTTTAACTTAAGTGTCCAACTTGAAACTAAATATGAAGTTGTGAGAGTCTGAGACGAGTAAATCTGACACGAGTTGATCCGAAGATCCGAGACGAGGCGAGGGTTGATCATGAGATTCAAGATGAGTTGATCCGGAGATCCGAGACGAGTAGAGTATGGAGTAGGGTATGATAAACCTGCTTTGATATCATGTTAAAACATATAAAAGGTGAAGAGAGAAATTAAACATGAAGACCACAACAAAACAAAGCCCAAAGGGCCATGTCACTTTTGTTATATTCTCTCTTAATCTTTGTATACAACAATCACCTCCATTTATAGGTGAAAGAATACAAGTGACAAATATAGAAAATACATTGATGGAATATTTTTAAAATCAATCCTATTAATCACTCCAATCAATATTTATCATATGCTAAAATCTCTCCTATGATAGTCTCATATCAAATATTCTGTCAAGGAGTAATTTAAGGGTTCCTATTCATATATTTACACTTGCAATGCCAAAAAATAAATAAATAAGGTAGTAGTAGTATCACAAATTCAAAACAGATCATGACTGCACAAAATACTAAGGTGCCATACAATAAAGAACAGAACAAATAACAAATGAATATAGGTGAGCGACTACAGTGTGTGGTAGAAGTAACCTACCCAGACCAACACATGAAGGCAAATGTTCATAATCTGCAGAACTAACCGCCAAGCCGACAATGGTTGCATTTAAACTGTAGAAAGTTTCAGCAGTTGGGACCTATCATAAAGTATTGTATTACGAGAAAAGTCATCTTACCTGTTTAATGTATATGGATGGAGAAGTAAAAGCAACAATGTAGAAAATTTCTTAATAGAGAAAGTATAATTGTTGAAATTTTGTCCTGTTATGTCCAGGTAATACTAAATTGGACAGAATTGGATAGAATATATCAAAATCATTTCTTGTAAAATGCACCAAAACTATATTATTCCTCAAACAATATTGAAGCAGTTAATATTTGGTATCCAAACCTGACAATGGAGATGTTTAATCTTGACACTAGATATTGAAATTTCATAAGGAGGATGAGAGGCCAATGCATTAGCAAGATCCTTGATAAAGATAACATTCAAGTCAGTCGGAAAGCACTGCTTGAAATAATCCAATATACGCTGATCACGCAAATCGCGTGCATTATTTGATTTTAGAATCCTGGCAAGAAAATAAGTGGAAGAAGTAAGAAAACTTCATCTTCCAAAATTTCCAACTTTTCTAGGAAATAAAATTATATGTTGCTTACTAATTTATAAAATCAAACAGATATTGACTAGCAAAAGCAATAAAATTTTCCTTTTTTGATTCTTACACAATTTAATGACCTTGACATTCACAATAAGATGGAATATAGAAACAAGTCAAACAACAAATTCCAAGATTCAAGCTCAAATAATCTAGCCTACTAGAAAATACAATTACTAAATGAATAATATTGTGCCTTCATTCAAACTATGCCTTTAATACAGGCCCCTACTTCCCAAAGGGAGGTCAGGGATTCGAGCCTCAGTAGAGGCATGTGTGTGTGAGTACCAACTAAGAAAAAAAGATCACCATTGACATGAACAGATTAAAATTCAGGTAAGGCAACCAAACCAATACAGAAAAAAGGTCAACATGTGCCAAAGGTGACAATGTTTCTACCAATGATTGACAATTATAACGAGGAAAAATAATTACAACAGATAATACAAAACAAAACTTCATTTAGGAAGTAAGAGTTCCAGATCATATATGAAGACAGCTAAGAACATACGATCTTTTCAAAGAGTCCTGGCGAGCTGAGTTAACCTCAATTAGATTCACTGCGGTGTCATCTCCCTCGTCTAACCAGAATGGCCCAGTAGGCAAATTCTTACTCTCAGCAGATATGCATATCTTAACTACATGGGTAGGAGCAATATATTTTAACATATCCACCAGTATATCATAGCCAATACCTGGTACACGAGGTGAATGAGAAAATTACAGATGGATTGTTGTAGCAAAAAAAAAAAAAAGAAGATCATCAAGTTGATAATATCCAGCACACAAGTTGTATAAGACCAGCAAAGACGAGTTAATTATTATTACAATTAAAAATAATAGGAAGAAGGATATATAGAGCATACCTTTCACCCAGCCAGGAGTATTAATGACAAGGGGCAATCCAGTATTACCAGGGTTTTCCCTCTTGTTAAACATGCAGTACTTATTCCAATAGTAATCATATAGGGAAAATATAGATTTCAAGTAAGTTGTTGGATCCCTTTTCGAGGAAATGTCACCAAAGAAGAAGCATCTGCAACAAAAAAAATTCAGGAGAAAATTACCCTCATACGTACAATAATTCTCTTTCTTCGTTTTTTTTTTTTTTTTTTTTTTTTTTTTTTACTTATATACATTTCCTAAGATATATAAATTTCAGTGCATTCTTCAAAAATTATGACAGGCATGAGAATGCCTGTGTTTAATAGATGTAGCTTTATATTAGAATTATGTATGCACAGTGGTAATGTAAGAAACTATCCTTACACTTCTTAGCAAAAGTGCTAATTTTACATTTCTTAGGGAAAGATACATAAATTCAGTGAAATCTTCAAAAATTATCAGCAACTCTCAAAGACTAGATTGCATTAAATCAGACCAAAATCAAGAGTTTGTCTATCACAGGTCGAGTTCATTTATGGCACACAGGAAATTTTAAAAGATCACAATTCATACTTGATGTAGCAACATTCCATGCAAATTCTGAGGACCAAAACATCAGATCAATAAGCACAGTCAACTGCCTAATAATTAATAATCATGGGAGAGCCCGAAAATGGTAATTAAAAGGCTTATGAACTATAAAACTTTCAGTGATTTTTATTAACAAAAAAAACTCTTCACAACTACTTGATTTTTAGTATAAACATTGACATACAAAAACTAAGTTCCAAGAGTGATGAACTGAAAAAATAATAATAATAAACAAACAAAACAAAACAAACCAAACCAAAAAGAAAAACAAAAAGGCCATTACCTGGTATTCATATTGCAGGTACGAGGTGCTGAGAGTGAAATAGTAGAGACACACCTAACCAGTGCATTACTTTTTGCATAAAATTGACTACTGTCTCGCTCGAACCACATCCACGCACTTGTTAGCATTAATTTATGTTATTAAAAAGCTCTCTTCTTTATTACTATAAAATAATGTCATCATAGGTTTTGATTATATATACATCTATGTATGCATTTTTCTATTATACTATTTATTACTGCAAAAAAAAAAAATTAAAATTTAAAATTTAAAATGTTAATTATTAAGTAGAATTATTAGTTGTCATCATAGAAAGAGAGAGTTCCTCATAACATGATTAATTAATAGAGATTGTTATAAAATATAAACTATTAGAATGTCAAACTGTTGTATTTCTCTAGGAACTAAAATTTAAGTACAAATTTTCCGCCTCCAAGACAGCTAAGTTCAAGTAAAAACCACATTTTAAAAGCAATTAATAAATTATTTAAAAATATCTAAAACACCCAAAAATGTTCCACTTCCTAAGCAATCTATACTAAAAACCTAAACCTTTATCTTGTCATAATTATATTTCTTTCTTTATCAAGTATGCCCCTACTCTACCAATCAACAACCTTCCACCCATCTGATGAATAACCAGCCCACACCATGAGCAGCAAGGCATGCACTACCATTATCCTAAAAGCCTGCAGCTCCAATAGAATATTGGTGAAATTAGAGTTTCACTTCACTGTTTTTATGATTTTCTTTTTCTCAAGCAAGATGAGGGTTTCATCAAAAATTATACTTACTAAAGAAAACATAAGCCAGATATTCCCATATAATAATATAATTAGGTAAATAATTGAAGTATGAACCATCCAGAACAAAAGGATTTGGAGAGCAGAGAGAACTTTTCAGCTAAATCACAACAATTCACAAAATAAAAATACAATATGAATGCCCAAAGATAAACAATGTCCACACTATACATACATCAAAACAAGTCATGGTGCTTTCAAACGGACTTCCTTAGGGCAGTTTTTGCATACTAGTAACAACATCATAACAGTAATGACAATACAAATGCTGATGTGATAAAAGAAAACACATTTAACGAATGAGTCAATAACCAACAGCTATAGATATTAACGTCCGTATCAAATGATCACCAGAAACCTGATCATCCAGCCATGCAATACACTCCATACTGTGCAATTGATTATTACTTGAAAACCCCATTTATAAACCTTATTTGGACTAAAAGTATTTCAGTTGTTATTAGTCACATAAAGTGTTATCAGATCCACAGAATACCATAGAATCCAGAACAATCAAGATGAATTCCAGAATTCATACCTCTCGGGCGTTTTCAGGCATGCAATTTTTAAATCTAATTAAGGGAAAATAAAAAAGAGAACAATTGATTAGAAACAGGATAATTACATCAATTCAGATAACACAAAACTGACACTTGATAAATAAAAAAAAGAATTCAAAAACAATATATTAACCAAATTGATCAGAATGTAGACAGATACCTGTAGTTATCTTGTCAATTGTAGTCAGTGATAGACAACCAGGAGGAGTAAATAATGTCTGCCCAACATCTGTTTCCAAATAAGCTACTTTTTTGTATCTGATACAATTACAAAATAGATTTAGTAAATGAAAATGTTGTGTATCAAACACCATAAATGTCAGTCATGGGTTCATAAGGAAACTAATATTCATCTAAATAAACAACAGGGGAAAAAAATTAAAAACAAACTAATCATTCAGAATAGAATGAGTGTAATTCAGAATTGGTCCACAAGCATAAAATTCGTAATCCAGGCAAGTGTAGGAAATGAAATAGCTTTCACTTAAAAAAAAAACTAAATAAATAAATATAATTGAAAGTGCAGTTTTACTAAAAGCACAATCCCACATCAACATGTTAGTCTATGCATACTCAACCGAAATAATTTCAAATTCAAAGCAACCCTAGATAGGTTATTGAGGACATATCACGCATAACGATCAAATTCAAGAGTAGCTGCACAATAATCACTTTAATTTGTATAACCACTTTACAGAGTAACTTCTACTGATACAGAGACATATAAATTACAGAGTTCCTGTAGTAGAGAACGGGAAAAGCTGAACTGAAGAATTTCAAATTCTTCACATATGCACATACCCATATACCCATGTAATTTGCATTAACCAATTCCACATGAACATGTAAAAAAAAAAAAAAAAAGTTGTGTGTGTGAAAGAGAGAGAGATTGTGTTAAACCTTTGAAGGAGAATGTTGACGAGATGGCGAGAGAAGGTGGTCTTGCCGCTATTCTTGGGGCCGCAGATTAGAGTAACTGGAGGCGGCGAAGTGATCGAATCACCGATTGCTATTGTCTCTGCGGCGTCGGACCATTCATCTGGGATGAATATTGGCCTTTCTTCATCCATGGCTGCTTCTGTGTGTTGTGTGTAAAACCTTTGGAAAAAGCGAAATAGGAACCCAGTCCCATAAATTGGAATTACTTGTAATCTTTTCGGCGCTGCTCCTGATGAAACTGAAGCTAATCTCCCAAACACAAAACCCAAATCTTATCCTTCGACTTCGAGCATCCGAGAAGCGACAGAAGCCCTAGAACACAATTCCTTTTTTAAATTTTTTTTTTGGGTTAAGAAGTTCAGTGGCTAAAAGACCGCCAAACTGAACAAAATTGGGCCCATAAACCCAACCGTTTTATTTCTATTATGGGCCAACATTTTTTATTTCTGTATCAGCAATTTTTTTTATGTCGGATCAGCTTTTGTTTTGGGCCAAATTTTAAGGCCTAGTTTATAAGCAACCCCAAAGATTTGGGACCAAAAGCGGTTAGTGGTGACCATTGAGTTGGGTTAAAAGCACGGAATGTATTTGCACCATCACCATCTTCAAATAAAGTATTTTCTACGGTAGCACCATGAATAGCGCATAGCAAAGCAGTGCCTAATACACCGGCAACTCCCATCATATGAAATGGGTTCAATGTCCAATTATGAAACCCTTTAAAAAAAAGGATGAAGCAAAATAAAGCCGCTACGCCAAAACTATATAGGTTGGGCCAAAATTTGAGGCTCCAAATAAGTTAAATAAAAAGAATAAAGAAAATCAATTTGTGCAATTTTTTATTACAAATTTGTGATGGACCCATTACATTGTTATAAGATTAACCATTTGTGCTTTGATTGTTCTTATAATCAATTCATTTAGTTACTCAGAATAAAAATAAAATTCAAAGAATTTAATTAAAGAACAACTTTAAGTTTTACTCCTTTTTTTTTTTTTTTTTGGTGTGTGTTTATTTGTCTTCCCCTGGCGGAGGGTTTTCTAGCTTTGATGGCTTTTTAAATTCGTTTTTAGAAATATCTTGTCCGTTGAAAGGTAATTTTAATAGAAATGACAATGAGGTGAGTATAGAATGAGAGATCCCTCGCCACTCCACCCTAAAGTTCTTCCGAGAAATTCAGGCTATTCAATGATGGCGTCGTGGCAAGAAAATGTGGTATTAAAAAAGTACTAAGAAACCAACGGGCCAGTGGCCTAGCGGTATCGTCCTCTTACTTTCTATAAAGAGAGGTCAGGGGTTCAAGTTTCAGAAGAGAAATGTGCGCGTAAGTACCACGTAGGAAAAAAAAAAGTGCTGAGAACGGTCATGCACCTTGTGGGACTATTGCTACCCAATTACCGAAATTTCACTCGTTTTTGTCATCTCCGAAGACAATGTCATTTTTGACATTGACAGAAACTACTGAGGAAACAATTTACGAAAGTCAGAGGCAATAATTAAGGTTCGATCTCCTGAACACAGCGATGATTATAAGAAATTTAAATTTTCTTCAATTCTAAATCGATTTGGTGTTCTCGAATGTAACATTAAGTCCTCATACATTTTCAAGGGCTTTTCAATAATTTAAATGATAGATAACAGTGATATATATTTATGCAAATAAATAAATAAACAAGGTCAAGTGTGTTTGGGAGAGTTTATTAGATATTATAGGAAAAATATGTTTATGCTAATCAATAATGATTGGAGTCCTTTTTTAGGCTTCTTTTAGAGATAAAAGAGCAATAAAGAATCGTGTTAATTAGGTTTTCAATCTATAAAATGATTGGTAGAAGGGGAAAAAAATATAATAAAAAAAAAAAAGAAAAGAAAATGGAACAAGTTTTCACTTTTAGATTCTTAGTACAAGAAAAAGTTCATGACCTACAATTTTTCATCCATTCAAAATTAGATGAAAAAGAGGAGGGAAAATAAACGACAAGTTCTATAATATATAATCAATAATGTAAAGTGACACTATTATTTTTTTCTCAAATATAAAAAACCTCCTATTATCTTCTCAAATAATGCATGGTGTCAGATTCTTTTCTTATTGGTCAAATATACAAAATGGAGAGATTTTCATTTTTAAGCATGTTTTATTTAGATATATCTTTGGAATTGTTATCATGAGGATGTTTTAGGTGTTGATTTATTGAATCTCCACCACTTCGGCTCTGTCCCATATGGTGGTAAAAGTGGTTCAATATTGTTAACAACTCCAATATGACCCTCCCTATCATGTCCAAGCTCTAAACCTGACCGTTGATTATTAGTTCCACTCAAATTTGTAAAAAAAAAAAAAAAAGGAAAGAAAAAGAAAAAATAATAATAATAATCATTGAGTCCAGGACTCCAGACTCATATTTGGGAATTCAAACCCATGGAACCCAAATATAGGTAGCAAATTGAGTTTTCACTGTTTGAATTTGATGCTGAAAAATAGGGGGAAAAAAACCAAGCAGATCCATTCTCAAAATAAGAAGAAGAAAAAAAATGAAGAGCCAGGACCACCTTGACAAAATAAAATTCAAAGAAACAAACAAATAAATAACCCGTGTCACATTTGAATTACAAATTTCTCAAAGTAGACTCGTCTCAAAAGGATTTTTATTGCACTATTGTAAATGAAAATCAATTCTTCTCATTAAGAAGAAACACACTCACACAAGAAGTATCACTAAATTGGCCGAGCCAAGCCAACATTTGGAATTTATGCATCACTAAAATTCAAATTGATCAAAACATAACACATACTACAGAATGACTTTAGCAAGCAGACAATGAAAACTATTAAAAGTACGCACCTTCACACATAAAAATTATAATGATCATACAATCTTACTGCTTTTCTCACTAAGAAAGCAGGAAAACACACAAATGCAAAAATGATTCCGAATCTATGCAACAAACTTGTTGACGAAAAAGCGATGCAGCCTTTGTTCAAGGAGCAAACAGTCTTCAAAAACCACAATAACATTTAAAGAACATCGGTCCAAGATCACCAGAAAGCTAAACAAACCTAAGCGATGCAGCCTTTGTTCAGGGAGCATACAGTTCACAAACCACAATAACATTTAAAGAACATCGGTCCAAGATCACCGGAAAGCTAAACAAGCCTAAGCGATTGCAGCCTTTGTTCAGGGAGCAAACAGTCTTCACAAACCACAATAACATTTAAAGAACATCGGTCCAAGATCACCGGAAAGCTAAACAAGCCTAAGCGATGCAGCCTTTGTTCAGGGAGCAAACAGTCTTCACAAACCACAATAATATTTAAAGAACACCGGTCCAAGATCACCATAAAGCTAAACAAGCCTTGGGATGCAAATCTCTGCTCCACATAACTGAATGCCAAGATCAACTACTTTTTGCCCTTCCAAGTCTAACCAACAAACCTTAGCCCATATTCTTTCATATTACTTGTTACAAGAAAGCTATAGAAAGTTTGGTCCAGGACTCATGGACCATGTAATCCTTTATGACCCATAATTTGACAATATCACCATCATCATCAATACAACTGAAGAACAAGCATCCACCTCAACCCCCAAAGTCGTCTAATGATTTCCCGAGATATTTGGGAGTTGTACCTCCCGAATAAACTATTTTCAAGCAATGTGTATAGAACTACACCAAAATGCAACAAACTGGCGATGAAAAAGCAATGCAGCCTTTGTTAATACATCTGTTATTGGAAGAGATAACAATAAACAAATATAGCGGAATAACTCTTCTCCCTATATGCAAGCAAATATAGTATATCTCTACTTTTATATATGCTGAAAATAATAGGAAAAAAAAACTATCACACCAAGCCACAAGAACACAAGCAATTTTTTACGTGGAAAATTTCCCCAATGCGAGGAACAAAAACCACGGGACCTAGTCCAGTTGAAATCTCCACTATCAACCAAATAATGGGTACACAAAGTCTTCTCTAATCGCAATTAGAGGCTACAATACATCTCATCAAGATATCAACAATCTTGACAAAAACAAAGAGAATTGGAGAGAAAAATACCAAAACCCGGTTATTGTTCACGGGCACGAATCACTGTTCCTGAGCTCAAAATCCAATCTCCACCATTCAGATTTTAACTCATTAAGTCATTAACCTCTCCTCCAAATTTCAGCTCGATCGGACCAGAGACAAAGTGGGATCAGACGTTTGATGAAATCTAGGCATAATAGAAAAAACTAAAACCCGGTTACTGTTCACGAGTACGAATCACTGTTCCTAAGCTCAAAATCTGATCTTTACCGTTCAAATTTTAACTCATTGAGTCGTGAACCTCTCCTCCAAATTTCAACTCGATCGGACCACGGACAAAGCAGAATCGGACGTTTGATGAAATCTGGGCAGAATGGAAAAACTTGCGTTTTTCTTATCTCTCTTGTGGGAAAGCTACGGCTTCTCTTCCTCTCTTTTTATTCTGACTTCCTTAGGGTTATTCACCCTAAAGAGCTGGGCTTTGGGCTTTAATAAAACCCACTTGGGCTTTCCTCCATATAGAAGGAAATAAACCCAACAAATCTCCCCATTTCCACTATGTGGAAACAATCGCCATCCCAGCGATCGAACAACAAACTTCAAGCTTCTCTCTCGGTAGGGTATTTGTCAACATATCAGAACCATTATCATCAATGTGAACTTTCTCAAGTTCAAGTAACTTATTGTTCAACGTATCTCTGATCCAATGGTATCGTACATCAATGTGCTTATATCTTGCATGGAAATTGGAATTCTTAGCAAGATGAATAGCACTCTGGCTATTACAAAACAACACATACCTCTGCTGCTTGAAACCAAGTTCTCTCAAGAACTTCTTTGCCCATAGCAACTCTTTAGTCGCTTCCGTTGCTGCAATAAACTCTGCCTCTGTGGTAGAAAGAGCAATACACTTCTGAAGTCTCGATTGCCAACCTACAGCCCCACCTGCAAAAGTGATCAAATAACCCAAAGTAAACTTACGAGTATCCACACCCCCTACCATATCTGCATCTGTGTAGCCAACTAATAATTGTTGTCCGTTTCCCAAACCAAGTCTCAAACTGGAAGTGCCTCGAAGATACCTCATGATCCACTTCACTGCATTCCAATGTTCTCTTCCCGGATTTGACAAGAATCGACTAACTACACCAACTGCATGGGCTATATCTGGTCTTGTGCAAATCATTGCATACATCAAACTTCCTATTGCTGAGGCGTAAGGAACTCTTTTCATGTCTTCCTTTTCCTTATCTGTAGAAAGACATTGCTTTATACTCAGTCTGAAGTGGGTAGCAAG